CGAACAAAGGAATGCACCAGAATCAGGCATTAAAAAATCACTGTACCTTCTGCAGGACCTTCATGTTATTGTGTGTACACTCTGAAATCGATACTTGCTTAACCAGCAAAGAATGCCTCCTGACATTCTGTTCCAAGTATGACCATTTTGAACGTTTCACTTCATGGAAACTGTAGAGTTGGAACGCAAGCTGCCTTTGGAAGTATGGGATACAAGAAACTTGAAGACCAATTGAGAAGTCTGGCAACTGCAATTCAGCATCCGCTCTTTCTGCTCTTTGCTTATTAGAATGATCTACTACAGTCAAGATACGGAAAATCAACTGAACAACCTCCATCAAGCAGCCTTCAAAAATTAGATACCTTAACCCATCTTGGTTATTTAGGAAAATCATTTCCAAACAAACCCTTGGCCACAAGGTCACAAGTGTACCATGCTGAAGCAAAAGAGTAACACGTGAAAGCCAGTCAACATCCGCCATAAGAAAGTAGTTAATCACAGAAACAACCTGTAGGTTGAGGGACAACTTAAATTGCTCTGTGTCATTCCACGGACAATAAAGCTCCAGAGGCCCAGAATCTTCAATAGGCAAAAACTCTACATCCGGATCCGGACATTTTGATACTCGAAGGTGCTTCAAAACCTCAACATTATTGTCACCTGACCCATTGTAGATTCCTTTTTTTTCATTATGAAGTCGTCTCCTATAATAGACAATAGGAAATATACTACCCTTACGAAAACCAGAGCTTTCCAACAAGGACACATTCCCACTCGGTCCAGGTAATCCACATGATGCAAGAGAACTAGGAGATCTATTTGTGTACAGTCCTGCAGTGTCACTAACAACATCCCCATTCGTTTTCACAGTTTCTTTAGGTGTCATCATTTCAGTTTTTCTCCGTTTTTGAACAGCCTTAAGAGTGGAAGATTTGTCCCGATGCATAGACCGAGCCAACCATTTGATTATTGGTTCTGATTCCATGTCGCCCATGCCGCTATCATCTTCTAGCTTTCCCTTCTGCTTCTCCTCGTCTTTGGTGGATGTATCATTCCCTTTTATTTTCAGAGTAGAATTTGACCCTGAATAGCGCCTTCTCCGTTGATTTTTTCCAGGAACTTCAGTAGGGAACAACAGAATTTTAAATCTTTCACCCTGTAAGTTGATCCACTCCTCATCTCGATCATCATATTTTACATGATGCATCTTCTTGTCTCCATCGTAATCATCCACAAACCCATCATACCAACGCTCATCCAAAGGCCAGAAAACTTTTATCTTTTTGTTTAACAACCAGTGCGAATCCACCATATCTGAAAATACTATTTCATAAAAGTGGCGCCTTTTCCGAACTTTACCCTTCCCATCATGCTTTCTCCTTGGCCGCAACATTCTATCATCAGTGTCATCTGAGACACATTTGGAACTAAACAACTCAGATCGAGGAGTAACTGAATTCTTCCCAGAAGACAATGGCTGCAATCTACGGACAGATTGTGAACCAGGAGTAACAGAATTTGAAGGAAACTGGGTGCAGTTTGTATCAAACCGTGAAGAGAGCATCCTTGCTGCATTAGCTTCAAGATTCTCCTCATCATCTTCACGTGATACCTTGGCATCACCTGAAGACTTGGCCTCTTTCCCCACACGTCTGTTTGATGCTGAGGACTTCCTTTTTCTCCTGTTACAATGTGCTTGTTTTGCAACGAGCTGGTTGTCTTTCACTGGAGACTGATTAGAATGCCCATTCTCCAACTGCAGCTGAGCTACTGGATTAGATTCTTTGATTTCTTTGTCAGAGTCTTTCTCTTCAGCTTTAATGAGCTGATCCTGAGCACTAGATTCTTCACCGGTTTCCTTCGGGGTCTTATCAACCAGCTCCTCCTGACTGTCAGACTCCCCTGCAGACTTCTGTACTAGGCCATTCTCAAACCTACTCCTCCCGACAAAATCTCTCCTGCGTCTAGGGACATAAATCATACTACCTGCCAAACCAACTGAAATCCCTTGAAGTCCACTACCGTCGCACAATTTCTCATCCAAACCCACCTTGGTGTCCTCCAAATTGTGCAGTATCGTGGTACCATTGCATCCCTTATCCAGAATTTTCTCGTTTCCGCGATTAACTTTCTTAAAGCTACTTAAAGAAACAACTTTTCTGCTCTTCTTATCCTGCTTCGACCGATCACCATCATTCCCAGACCTATTTTTCCTTTTAAAGCTCTTATTCACAGAATCCTTTGTAATGCTAGACTTATAAACCGTCTTAAGATCCAAAGACCTTGTTCTCTTCGAAATTCCCACTCCATTAGAGTTCCCTAGTCTATTTTCCATGAAAGAAACCTCGAACCAAAACCCAGAATCAAAATCCAATAGGTCTCAAATTCCATCATACACGCATAGAAACATTTTTCAGATCTGTGACAAGAACACCAAACCCAGAATCACAAACCAAAAAAAACACCCAAAGTAAATTGAAAAAAAAAATACCGATCAAATCCAAGTCCAGGAAAAAACTTATTGCATTGAAATCCACGCAATTATTCTCCAAAATCAAAGCAAAAAATTAAGAAAAAGAGAAAATTTGCATGCCTACCTGCATCACTTTATCTGACGAAATCGACTCCTAAGAACACCTTTATAGTCGCCACAATCCCAAAATCAAAATTAGGGTTTCGGTAAATCGGACTTGGAATCGGATCCCTGAATCAAAAATTCCTTCTTTCCCCAAAAATTATTCGTTCAATTTAGCAGG